GTAACTCAAAGTCCAAAGCGGGATGCAAATTTTGCCCAGTTTAATTTACTCTATGATTTTTTGAGACAACTACGTCTTCGAACGTAACCTTAATAAAAAGAGGCAAAATGGTTGCTGGATCTTCATCCCGAGTTTTTCCAACTTCTCGTAAAAGTATGGAATAAAACGACGAAAAGTTGGAAGGTTGATGGTGTTTGGTTTGTAGTTTTCTACATAAACGTAACGTTAGGAATGAAGTTACCTAGAAATCAATAAGACACATTACATTCTGAGCAGATGCAATAAAGGGGTAGCACTGATTACCTTTTATTGTATTCTGTTAAATACATTTCTGAACTAAACGCTCTGGATAAACTTTACAAAGTCCCATAATATCGATGAGAAAATAGGATGAAGGTTGGAACAAAGCTATTCATACTGGAAATCATTGTAATCCTATCAGAATCGTTATAATTTAGTGTTATGAGAGCCAATGTCTGAAACTACTTCTCATATTTATAATCCAGAGAAGGTTATGCAAATACATATAATCCGAAAATGGATATATATTTTTAAACATAGGCTCCAATCCGAAGCAATATTTATTTCAAATTGTGTAGTAAAATGATGGATCATTATAAAATTGCGTCATATCCGAAATATGTAATTGACTACCTGAAAAAATTCCTTTCGGAAGAGGTGCTTTTAACACGTATTGAAATTATGCTCACCTCGAATCGAATCATGTCGAACAAATTTCAGTTTCCATCACTAAATTTCACATTATCTCCTCACCTTAGAATTATATTTTTTCGTAATGAACTTATTTCAAAAAGAGCGATTGTGTAACCAGACTTTTTTAAGTTTATAATTGTGAGCTTTGTTGAGAAATTTTCTTTAAGCGATTCTACACATCTATGACTAATTTTTTCTACAAAAAATATATTTCTTGATCTCAACATTACAGTAAAAGCAATAAAGTCATCTATTAATAATGTCATATGAAGTTGCTTTCAGTAAGTGTTTTTTAACATTTCCCAAAGGTAGTAGAAACGGCATACATGCACATATATACAAACGTATCTAGATGGGTATGTTTTTTGGGCTGACTGGTGGTTGGAGTTAAATTAAAGTCACTTCAGTTTATACGACACTTTCTCCTCCAAAATAAGTTCATATTTACTTAGGAGGGGAGGTTGTGTACTATCAACTCCCGGATCTCGATGCCCTTTGGATATGTTGTAGTGTCCCATGAATGTACAACAACCCTGAAGTGGTTTAATGCCATGACCACATTTGCGCCCGCCACACCCACTCAAAGGTGCCCAAAAATCGCTTTCACTGCAGCTTTCACTCATTCAAAACCACGCCAAAAATCCAATTTTACTCCGATTTTGAAGTTTCTTTCACCATTATACTCCCAAATAGTTGCTTTCTTATATCCAACATCAAACTCCACTTTTTGAAATTTTTAGTATTTTTAAGATTTAAAATTCTGAATGAGCATTGTTGCAGTAATCAACAAAGCAAATTATGGCTGCGAAATAATCATCAAAAAAGTTGAGTTTGATGTTGGATATAAGAGAGAAACTATCTGGGAGTATAATGTTGGAAGAAATTTCAAAATCGGAGTAAAATTGGATTTTTGGCGTGGCTTGGAATGAGTGAAAGCTAGAGTGAAAGCGATTTTTGGGCACCTTTGAGTGGGTGTGGCGGGCGCAAATGTGGCCATGGCATTAAACCACTTCAGGGTTGTTGTACATTCATGGGACACTACAACATATCCAAAGGGCATCGAGATCCGGGAGTTGATAGTACACAACCTCCCCTCCTTAGCATATACATACACATACGTATGCATTCAGTTTTCAATTTGAATACTTATGATTGACAGCAACTGCTGCAGCTGCTTGAGTCGTAAAATGATCGTAATTTCCATTCGAATTTATTATTCTGGATGAAAACCAAAAACTTTCGAGGAGTAAATTTTCAATTACTTTCACCCTACGTTCCTAGCCTGGAGAAAGTAAATTATGCAATATAAATGTGAAGAGATGGTAGGCCTGAGCACAGTACTTAAATAATTTATTTTTGAATTTCTTTAATAAAAAATGACATAAGAGTTCAATTTTACATTGGTAGGCTGTATCTATTACTATAATTAAATATTTTAATACATTATGGCCCAGGGTGATTGTAATGACAGTATTTAGACATCCTCAAGTGTTTGTCAATCTAATTCTTTCCCAATGTAATTCCGACGCAAAAACGTCAAAACATTTTCTGAATTCAACTTCCCTTCGTCGGGAAGTTGAATTACAAAGAAGGAATACATAAAATCCTGGTATTCTGTGAGGGGTGAATTTCCCCGTTTTTTTCTCCCTCCTGCATATTTTTTTCCGGAGGCGAGAGCGAGGGACAGATCTGGGCCAAATTCTTTAAATCCTTTTGAATTCTTTATATTTTTTACTGCTTTCGTCTCTTTCTTTTTTTCTTTCTTGGAGTGCAGCCGGGTGATTGAGATGAAAGAAAGAGAAAGCTGTTGCTGGCTTTCCTCCGTCAATATGACTTGCATGCATACTTGAATTATACACGAATATAGCTTTAGTAAGTAAAATCGCCTTTCGTTCTTCCTCCGGGATCTCGTAGTCGGGTTTCTGCCTGAACTTGTATTTTTCTCAAGCTATAAGTACGCATTTTGGGTTGCCATTTGGGTAAAGAATTGAATAAAAGGACTTGATTTAGGGTTGCGTAATAAATAGTATCTAAGTTTTAAGTATCTTATATAGATAACTGTGCAAGTTAGGAAATTGTAATTGATAGCCATAATTTCAAATTTTAGATATATGGAAGTCCGGTGCACATTCGTTTAGTGAAACTAGAATGCAATTCGTGGTATACGGAAACTTAAGTCCGAGCCAGATACGCTCTCACCTCATGGAAAAAAGTCGTAGAGAAGAGTTTTACGTGAGTATTTATGTCCAGATTTTGATGCTCTTTTCCTTTCCTAGGGATAAGGTTGTCTATCAAAAAAGCAGGATACGAAAGTTGTTTAAACTAAATGCGTTAGTGTCTCTAGAAATGTAGTCCAAATTTTATATTACTCTGAGGCAAATCATACTCTTAAATGAAATAAAACTTTTTGGAACCCACCTAAATGTCGACTACAGCATGTTAGGAAACTATGAAATCAAATATTTATTTTGTTGTCCCGAATCCCACAAGTTTTATGACGAATCCAGCAAATAAACTGATTGCTTTCAAGGATCAGTATACTGATCCTATGCTATCAATATGCTATAGCATATTGTTTTTGGCATTGTCTGAATGTTTTGTGAGTCTCGTTTATGTCACTGCACGGAAAAGGATGCTTCCGATATGGTCCATCTCATTCGTTGGCCTGGCTTCTTTTGTTCCCGACGAGAGAATCGACTGGCTGATGACGGATAGAGAAAAGGAGTTGAGAAGAGAAAGTTGAGTGGCGATGGAGACGATGGCTCCATTTCTTTTAGCAGACAGCACAAACCTTTGAAATGACTCCACTTTTGATAACATTCTGGTTCCGGTGAGTTGCAGCCAAGGTTGTTTTTGTAGGATATTTTGGAATGGTTAGGGGAAAGAACAAAGCGTGAGTACAGGGAACCTAGTCTACCTTGACTTTCACTTATTTTGTAGGAACAATGCCCACTGCGGGACAAATAGAAAGTACAGAAACAATGAAAGTTTGCTCTCAATTTGTTTGTAACAAGTGAGTCGTGAAGCGAAGTCACTGCTCCGACGACCATCTCTTCTCCACTTCCGGGGAAATGGCGACAACTGAAATACAGTTGTCTGCTCAAGATTTGAGAATTGTCTATCCGTCAAATATTTGTTTGCTCTGTGTTGACTAGATTTGAACGGCATTTGGAGAATATGTATATATCCATTAGGAAGGAAATGTGTTCAAAAGAAATCGCACATATGAAGTAATAAGAAACAGGTATGGAGAAAATAATTCTAATTTTTCGGGGGAAGTTGAGACCAGTAATTTTCCTGATAAGACTGAAGAGCACAGATTGCATTACGATGACGCTAGGACAAACTCTGCTGGGTTGTCGTCTCTCGTGTGCACTTTCTCACCCTTCGTCCCACACTTTCTCCCAACTGACCAGAACCTGGACAAGAAACGTGACATTCCTGATGCACAACGGTTGTTTTATTTCTTCCCCCTCCTACCAACCAACAACAAACCATTTCTAAAATCTTAGTAAATTCCACAACCACGATGCTTTTTTTACCTCTGCTACCATCAGGTATTTCTTGTTAAGCAAGGTACTTTCTCCTACCTTGATCTTACTTTTTCACCGTCCGCAGCTGCCAGTCCTCCTTAAGAGGTGAGAAGATGGAGAGGACCCCCCGCGGGATTTGGCCCCCGCATAAATAACTGTCAACCATACTGCCAGCCAACCCCGAAGATCTTTCCCTGTCAAAGATTACTGACATAAGAAACATGACATGTCCATCTCCATCTCGCCGCCAAAAGTGTCATGATTCATTCATAAATGTCACCTCAATTTATTGAAATGCCTCATTTGAATTGTACATTTAATGTCACAATTTCACCATAAACAACGTTAGAGTGAAAGCAGTTTCAAACAATCGAAATAAAATCATGAGACTTTTTCTGCGAGTAGCCAGATGCAAGTCGAGAAGAAAGGAAGTGCATTTTTTTGAGAGGTGAAACTTGATCCCGCATTTAAGTCCTCCAGTTATCCTGAGATTTAAGAGATTTGAATGGGAAAGTGGGGTCGTGGAGTAAAATAAATAAATCTGAGCGTTAAGGTGGTGGGGAAGTTGGAGGAAATAATCTAACGAATAAAAAACTCGACTTTTCCCATTTAACAGTTGCTCAAGATGGTGAAATTGATTTGGTGAAAGTGAAATAACGCAATATATTTTTTAATGGATCTCGAATTTATCTGTTCAGTAGCTGTGTAAATAATACGAAATGAATCATTCATTTTGTTTTTTTCATGTTTCAGGACAACAGCAACTCGTTCCTTGTTGAGTGGGGATTAGCAATCGATGACATCATTGACTGTTACTATGAATCTGAAAATGAAAGGTACGTTGTGTTCATTATGTCTGAAATTTAAAATAAGAAGTAAATTTCGTGTCATACATTTTCGTATTATTTCTAAATCTAGAGCTTCACCTTTGCCAAGTCCAGCTTTCTTATTGGAACCATGTCGACCACCAGAACTTCCCTTATAACTCCTGAGACTTCCATTCGTCGACACATCATCATACCCCGGAAAAATATTTCTTTTTTCCTACCCTACTCATGTTGAGCTCAACACGAGTAGGGTAGGATAAAAAAATATTTGTCCGGGGTATGCACATCATACACGTGCAAAAAAAATTATTCGCTAAATCATATGCATTTCCATAATATGCATTTTTGTTGTACGCATTTATTACAATTTTTGAATAAATGTTTGCTCTGGAACGAAATATAAATATGTATGCAAAACTATTTTAGAATACGGTGTGTGTTTATTGTATGCTTATTATACACACATACATATAGGTACTAGTAAACTCCGTTAGGAATGAAAATGCGAGTATTTTACACTTTTGGATTACTTTAATTACTTTTACAATTTTTAATTATATCTTTCATCATTTTCCACCAAACTGACTTTGCAGGAGTTGTAGTCACAAAAATACTTATCTTTGATCTCACATTTGTTACATAGTTTTATGTAACTAGATTTGATATAGGCAATACAAATTGTCCCTTGAGAGTGCTTCCTCATTAATAGAAATGGATAGATAAAGAAACGGAAAGAGCAAATTGTAATTCTCTAAAAAAAAAGATAGAAAATAATGAGCGTTTGGGATCCCAATCAAACGAGGATAATTAGAGAAAATGAGAAAGGTTCTTATTTCCTTTGCATCACGTGGGAGGAAAAACTTCCCTGTGTAATTATTTTATTTATCATCAATCAAGACATTTAGGGTGACAAATACAAAATTGCCGTCGGATGGTTGTGACCAATTTTTACTTCTCCTTTTTTTCATTCCGTTATTCCATGTTATAGTAGAATTCAACAAATCGGTTAGCATTTTTTACGGAAAATATTTTTCATTAAACCATCAGTTAAAGTATTCTAACTTAAACGAACAAGGAAGCCCATCTAGCAAAGTAATAATCTTAATTGTAAATATTTAGATAGTAATTTGAAAGGTTAACACTACGTGGTACTCAAGTTAAGGTACAAGTAGATATCTAATATGTACTCCAGAAATTATTAGTATTTATCAAGGATTAATTCTTAGCCATTTCAACAATCCAAGAAAGTTCGTGTTTTGAATTTGTGTTCTGAAGACGCATCTAAAAATCACCGATCCCGGAATCCAAGATAACATCAGCGTTACATGATTTTTCTTTAATCGATCCTGTAATTAAACAGCTCACAATCAAACCAACAAGGAGAAACTGAATTTCGTTTATGATTTCTTCTTCGTTTCCTCCCCTCATAACCCAGCAGTTAGCGTGGACGATGATACCACTCAAATCCACTCTCATCCTACATACTTTGTAAAACCTTCAAACCCGTAGATATTCGGGTATTAGTTGGGTTTACTTTCTCTGAAGTATAATGGGGAAGATGTAGTAATAAGTAATTGAGGCGGCATAATATGGCGCTATGTGGTGCAATGAAGATGAGAAGCTTTTATGACTCTCTTTCTCCAGCATTATAAGATAAGCTCTTATCTCGTTCATTTCTTGGTGAAAGTACCTCTCATCTTTATCCACTCGTCAGGATATGGATATTCTTAAGAATGTAATGGTTGGGAAATGAGATTAGTTACTTCAAATAACAATGATTGACTCATTTCCGAATTCGTTTTGATTATGGGCATAATGAGAACTACAACTTTCTTTGCTTTAAATAAACAATTAAGAATGCTGAAGTATTTTATAAAATCGGGACATAATGTGAAGTATCTGGTACTGGTACAGAATTTGAAAATATCGAATGCAGTTCTGGGAAAAATTTCAAGCTTTTTGATCTGATTATCAATATCTTTACTGATTTCAGCTAAAAGCAACTCTTTCTTAGGATTAATGTTACGTGATAATGCTTAAATTTTATCACGTAAAATACGAACTCGGGGGACATGAGCCATGAGCCACGTAAAAAGAAAATTCTCCTAATTGCTCCAGATGAGGAAGGAAAAGGAAAGATAGGAATTGTCATTCTCCTTAATTTAAAATAATTATCTGGGTGTGATTGGAATTCCAATTTCCAGTGCGTTCCTATATGTACTTTTTCTCTAGCAGAACTGTCACTCCTCGTCCACCTCAACTCTTTCCACTTTTATCCTGTTGATGACTGTTCTTTTAATTGACAAAATTACTGCACTCTGAGACAATCTGCAATGAAAGGAAGTCTGCCGTCTAACTACAGAATTTGAAGGATAGATCCGAACATAGTGAAAATATGTACTTTCTGTCGTAACTGAAGTTCTTAAAGGAAATAAAAAGTTTTGATTCAAAACTGTGCAAAGAAATGTATATACAAAAAAATGTATATGCATGATCCATATTAATGCTATCAAAAAGTTGTATGTATTTGATGCCGGTACTACCGTTTAGGAAAAGTTTAAAATAAAATAATGGAATTTAGGTGTTTTGTAAGGGTTTGGAAGGTTAGCGTCGTAGATTAAAAAATTATATTTGTTACATAAGCTGAGGAAATTAGACATTAATTAAACATGTGTACGCCCATGATGATTATACATAGCGTTTTTATTTCGTTTATCGGTTTCCGTTTATATTTTTATATTTTTCGAGAAAATGCTTCGTGGTATTATCGGTAAATTATCTATCTGTTATTTAAGTATTGCGTAATTTGTGTAATCACATGAATATTAGATGAGGTGTAGGTGTCAGCAGAAATAATGCGTTCTCCTGTAAAACAGCTTGTATAGAACTTCCATGTATTTTTGGCATGTTTCCACTCGAATCTCTTTTGGCAATTCATAATAATGTACATACATATGTCAACAGTATTGCACCAATCTTTAGGAAAAATGAGCAATATTAATCTTGTCAGCATCTTCATCATACTTACTCAGATAACATTCGATTTCCCCGAATGAGCTGGGGCTCCAATCATGATTTTATTATTAGCAATCTCCAGAAGCAATAATGACAAGTCATCTGCCCAATTCGACATAAAGACGTACGCGTCCAATCTTATTTCTATGTACCTTAAGTCGACCAGCTTAAACAGTACACTAATCCATGCTGCGAGCCATCGTCTTCGGAATAGACAAGATTTTGAGATAGCCAACAAATGTATAAATAAATGACGTCCTTGTCTCAAGTTAATTAAGATAAGCAATAAAGGTAACACTGGGGCAAGTTGATTGTATCTTATATTTCGTCTGATACACCACCCAATGTAATCTTGTTCGCCTGCGTTCCAATTTATGTTATTATCAAGAAAGATGAATAGTTGGTTGGATAATAAGATCACAACAAGAAATTGAATTCTGTCATTGTTTGCCATCCCGAAAAAGCTGGGAAATTTTGATGTAGTGGCAAACTCCACAAAAATTGCAGGAGTCAATTATGTAGGTGGGCAGTATAACGTTTCCTTTGTGGTTAAATTTAATGGAAATATTTAAGCGTCGTCCTTTGAACTCAACAAAATACCACTTCAAATCGGCACGCGTTGAAGTGTGTGCTGGAATGAAGCCACTTTTGTCGTCTTGTTTCCTATCGTGCTCGTTGAGCTGAATAAGAAAGAAGGATTTTTTCATTCATTTTGTAAGAATGATGCGGGATGAATGTTGATTTCGCTGGAAATTGAATTTTAGTTGCTTCCTTTCGAGTTACATAATATTTGGTGAAGGTATGTTCCCCTCATTTTTTGGTAATTTGAAACACAACCGGTGTTGAGATTACCACGTTTTTGTGGAAATTATTCCATTATTACGTGACGTACAGATAGTTTGTACCGTTTCTCATACAGTAGTGCCTACGTACTCTGCCAAAGCTTTTATGTATGAACCCTTCCTAAGTTGAGAGTAGCATGATGGGGAATTTTGAGCACTGGATGAATTTGATTTATTTCATATAAGCATCACAAATTATAACACTGAGATTTCTAAACATTTAATAACCCAAGTTCCATGTTTTAATCCTACCCGACATCCTACAAGGGTTTTACCAACGAAAATATCCATTTTCTTCCCTTTTAGAGGTGTTAATGCACCACTTTTAAAACTTCCAGTCCGGTGAACTTGCCACCGACAGAGAAAAAGACCTCGTTTCACTGGGGGCGGTTTCTGTCTCACAAAAGATCCCCTTTCACACTTTCCTTCTTTATTCCAGCGTCATTCATTATTTCATTTCATTTCAGTCTGAAAGATTTCATCCCAAGTCCAACTCGAGGTGTCACAAGGAGAGAGACTCGATCGTGAGAAAATGAAAGTTTTTGGACACGGCCACACTTTAATTAATTAGTAAATTCAACAGAGTGAGAGAAAATTATTTCGAGAATACTTTCTCTTGATTGCTTTTGATTCCCTTAATTTTCAGAGGAAATAAATAAATTCCCAAAGATGTGAGTTGTCTGGAAGAAATTCTACTCTAATTATGTGTCCATATTGGACAGCATGTCGAGAGAGTTAAGAGTTGGCTGCCGGAATTCCATTAAGCAATGTGTAACTCATTCTCAAGCAAGAATCGGAAATTGTGTGTTGCACAATTCGTATGAGTGGAATATATCTACAATGATTCTATGAATTAGACTCATCCTCAGAGAAGCGGAAGGAAGGAGGAGAAAACATATGCGATTTGACGTGACGTAATTTGACGTGATACGTCACACCATTCTTCTACTTTCCCTCATCTCCAATGAAACTATCCTTCAAATAAAATCTACCTCGACTTTCGCCTCTTTCCAGGGAAAGAAAAGGACAGGAAGCAGCTTTCATGTTTCGAGCAAGAAAGAGTTTTACCCCCGATGGTAAATAATTTCTCCGCGTAAACAGGTCTGTCTGAATAAATATAAATTCTTAGGAAGGTAATAATTAGCTAAATGTTGTATTTAATTATGGATAATATTTGGATTCGAGTAGAATTTTTGCTATTTTTTAAAGTTTGACTCTAGTTTCGTGGCAAATGATCATTTTCTCAAAAGGAAATATTTTAACCTGCCTTTATGAAAGTGAGCAAAACTCGAAATTATACCCGTGTAAACTATTCCAAGGGTCATGGTCAGAAGGTTTGCTCCAATTTTTACAACATGTGTATAAATTGCTTTGTATCCTTTGTTGACCTACAGTGCTTCGGAAACTTTGCTTTTATTTCATGAAATTCTAATATACAAATAATTTGTTAACAAACTTTAACAAAACAAACAAATACTTTATCGCATGTTCGTTAACAAAGTTCAACCCCCTTTGCCAAAATTTCCACGTTCCAACTTTCTCCAACTCCATTTGCATTACTATAAAGCTAACTTGCTGAAAGTTTACTCCAATGCAGAAAGCAAGTTTGTGAAAAGTACGACTAAATCTTGGCGTCAGTTTGAGGAAGTTAACTTCTTCAAGAGAAAAAACTTTAGCCAAACGGGTTCGACTTGACCACCGAGTGGGTTGAAAACTTACTTACTATTTGGGTTGAAAAACGGACAAAAATGACAATGTATTCACTAATTGTAAGTATGACATAATACATAAAATAAATATTCTTATCATGAATAAGTTTTATTTCAGATTCAAAGAGTTCATATTTAAGATATTTAATACATTGATTCGGATTTGCGCATGCCAATTACATAATACTGATACTGATTCCTTTTGTAAATAAAGTTTCAAATAAATTTGACTGGAATCTCATTCTCCACAATGAACGTGACGATTTCTTGTGCAGTCTTCCCATGAAGCTAAAATTCGACAATAAACACATATGAGCGTTAAGCAAATGATACACAAAGTTTGAAGCTTAACAAAAAATTATGAAACGCCACCTTGACATTTTGTATTTCCACGCTTTCCATTCCAGTCATTTCTTTAAGAACTTCTTTCACCATGATCAAGTCATCGCCATCCAAGTCGTCCTCCATTGCAGTGTCACTTTCGTAGTTGCCCCACTTAATTTCCAAAGTTTGGAGGGCTGAAAAATTTTAGGTCGCCTTTACTCATCAGCCTTAATTAATATTAATTTTAAAATGCTACTTCATTAATCATTCTATATTACTTTTAAACAATGCCAAATTGGAGGAGAAACATTCCCAAAGGTCCCCCAGTGTCGGTGGAAAGCGTAAATAGTGTAACTGAAGATGTTTCAATTGGAGAGGAGCACAGGCGCTGATAATATTTAGCAAAGACATCGGAGCAAGTTCCAATTGTCGTGTAATCTTTAACTTCTCCAGCGCTGGGAAGTGTTTTACGCTTATTACGCGAAGAAGTTCCGACTGATGAAGATTCGCAATGGTCAGCTGTTTAAGGTTCCGGAAAGGCACGAAAGGACCATTCAACGCCATTGTTTGAAGTATACCATCCACACTTTGACTCTTGAAATGCTCTTTGCTCAGCCACAGCGTCGCCAAGTTGGGCATCACGTCCGATCCGATGTCTTCAAGCGCGTATCCAAAACTCAAAACCTCAGTAAAGTCATTCTCCAATCTGGTCAGTTTTGGCATCGGGGGCATTTTGAAGTTGGCGGCTGCTAGTTCTTTGGCACGGTTGAGTTTTGAAGTCTTAACTTCAACTGGTGGCTCCCCCAAAGATGTGTACATCCCTTCTACAAAGACACTTTCCACTGTTCCCGAAACTTGGGTCAACATTCTGGTGAGTTGTTGGAAATCCGAGGCAGACACTTTACGCACAAATTGTTTCAGGCTGGCGTAGATTTTTAGACTTTTGAGATGTTCAACAGTGCTCAAATCCGGGTAAAAACTGGGCACGGTCTCGAACTTGGTCAACCTTGTGGCTGAGTTGATGACCAACTGGGCGAGGGTTTGAAATTTGATAGGAACGGCTCCATACTCGGCCTTAACGGCGAATTCGACAAGATGTGTGAACGGAGGGAGTGCTGGCAAGATGGCGTTTTCAAGTGGAGCGTCTTCAGCTTGGACTTCACTGATTGTGTCGAATATCATCGTCTTCAAATTAGGGCAGAAAGTGGACAGCATCTGATGCAACAATGGGGTAAGTGACGCTTCCATCCGTACTTCCAGGTGTTGCACGTTACCACCAAATTTGTCAAAGAAGGAAACCATTGTGGAGGTGAAGACCATTTCGTTTTTCCATTGGGTGAACTCGTCTTGGTTCAGAATGACTGATTTGGCCAATCTCGGGTTCATATTTATGCACATGACGAGAAAAGGTGTGGCGTTGCATAAATTGTCGTATTCCCAGGTTGGTTCGACACGGAGACGCAAATTCAGAGTTTGCATTGAGGTGAAGATTTCGTCCCATAGTCGACACACGAGTCGTGTCGAGACAGGAAGTTGGTCGTCATGAAGTAGGCACTTGAAAATCTCATGGACTATCTGCAAATTTGTGGGATCGGTGTGTCATTAATTAATGTCAATGTGTGCAAAAAATGGTAAAAAGAGATCATGTATTACTAAATGATTGGAGAGTGCCTTCACGACTGGGCAGAAGGGTTCATCAGCGTTTTCCATCTTCGTATTCGTAGGTTTAGTAGTAATTGTACTACTAGCAGTAATGTTAAAGCAACTTTCTTCAGTATTTGAATAGCTAATTATTATGCTTGGCTAATTGAAATGCACGTATGAGTATTGATTCAATGATGGCGAAGAAGTGAAGTGAAATGAAATGCGAAATGAATAGTGGAATTAAATCTTGTCTGCAAAATTCGTCAAATTTATCACTATGGCATTTTGAAAGGTCTCCAGACGTCTATCCGAATCAAGTAGTGGCTTAAATTCCATACCGACAGCGTTTCTGGTGATCGCTGTGTTTGACTTTCAACAAATGGAGAGGCATACATAATCTGAAATCTCGATATTTTTGTCGTAATTTAATTGCATGGTTTTTATCATCCAATATGCAACATTATTACTGCGTACTCCTGTCTCTCATAACTTTTACCCGTAGTCGGATGAGCTACCATAATATTTTTATTATCAACAATCTCATTCTTCAAGCAATTATCAGAAGTCATCCGTCTAATTTTGCCATAAAAATGTCATCCCCAACATAAATTTTTCGTAATCTTGAGATACCAAATTGGTAATTGGATTGTTTTGCTGGAGATGAAAAATCAGAGAGGCTCGTAATGTCTACAAATATATGTAATCTTCATCATAAATATTTGTATCAAGATAAAATTAGTTCTTGTTTTAGTAAATTTTTGCCTCTGGTCATATTCTGTAATTTAACCCAGCTATTATTCTCAAATTCTGTAAACTAAAAGGAAAAATGTATACTTAGCGGCGCATGTATTAATAAAATTGCAGTATCGGGTATGTAAGTAATTCAAGGTTCATTTCAATTAGTATTTCTAGATTTATGTAAATGGATCGTTGAAAAGACGTACAAAATTATTAAAAACAAGAGGAAATTAGGCAATTTGTAAAGTGGGGAATTTAAAACATAATTATTCATTAGGAAATGATTATGAAATTTCATGTCTACAAAAAGTCGTTTTCACTTTTGATGTGGTCACGTGCAAATTGAATTTCACCCGTCCTCCAATGTTGATCTTACTTAGGATTAGCGGCACGAGGTTTTGCCGACTGAAAATTCCGTCCCCTCCAAACGGAGTTTGTACTCCAAACGACCACGGCTTATCATCGCAGTTTATTTCCCGTTTAAATTGAGAGATCTGAATTGTATAAACAAATGGGGCGTGAAAGCGATGGGTCGTTACGGACATCGGATCTGCCTTGTCGGAAGAGATGCCATTGAGTGGATCTCGTAAAAGAAATTACAAAGTTGTTGCTTGCTCTTATGGTGCATAATAAAAGTGAGGATAAAAATCTCTTCAGCTTTTATCCTCGAACCAAACACTATATATGAAGATAGCGATAGGAACGCATTTGAACTTGTTTTTTTTATAAGAACACTCTAAAACAGTGATTCGACACCTGTTGGCGTTTAAATTGGAAATTCCTAAAGAACCTTTTCTTTTCTCATTTTCTTGGTTTCTAGAAATAACTTTCACCACGTCCATGCTTATCTCTGCATTGATATCCATTTCTTTAGGTTGAGAGGGTAAACTCTGCCTTGTTGAAGATAAGAAATGACATGACCACCTTATCATCATCAAAATTGTTCGCTCCCCACAATCACCCACCCCATTCATCGTCTTCTTTTGTTCTTTCTGAATTTTTCTCCTTTCCCTGCTTGTTATGAACAAAGGGAAATTGCTGATTTGTGACGAGGGTGCGATTGCCTCCCTTCTTTTCTATCTTGGGCCAATTTATGGGCTGGCTAAACTAAACCTGTTGTTCGATGCTTGGGTGAAGAAAGTGATAAATTATTGATGGCGAAGGCGGTCTTTGTACATAAAACTGTTTCGTTTTTTTGTGGTAGTTTGGAATTTTAAAATTCAGCATCATTATCACAACAGGTATGTAACAAGGTACACAAAGTCCTCAATAGGTTCGAGTAACATGCAATGTATGTATCCGGAATTAAAGTTTAGTTGGAAATTACTTTTGTCGTAATAGCCAGGCCAAACTAAAAGTGGATTTCCCACAACAAAATTTGCCCTAGTAAATGCAGATGATTTTGAATTTCTGTGAACAGTAGTTTACTCCACTTACTCTGGTTTGGGGAGGGATTACACCGGAAATCTTGCCTGTTGGGAATTAGCAGTGGTGAAAGCGGCTCAGGCTCAAGATTTGTCTCCCTGTGGTAAAGCAAAGTAAAGTGTGATTAATTGCCGATGAGAATTGAGTGATGAGATTTAGAACCGAGACGCTAACTTGGTCTTTGCCCCAACCAGACATCTGGATTTAACCCGAAATAGTAGAGCAGTAAATTTTAGAGCGTGTAGAATTGTAGGGTTTCAAAGTCAGAAAAAGTATTGCATAAAACAAATCAAAAAAGTATTGCATAAAACAAATCAATTTAATCAAGTAGATTAGATGAGGATATTGATTTGGGAAGTTTCGAAATTTTGAATTTTTTTGCAATAAATTTAATGCAAATCAACATTTACATGAGCAGATAAGGCAAATTTTCATTTCGAAATTTAAAAATTCTGTATCTTTCATGCAACTGAAACATAAAACGCTATTCTAAATAAAATATTGGTCACGTTATTAGTTAAACATATTTGATTAAACTTGATTACTATATCATTATTGCTACATACCTTGAGACATTTTTTACAAAATGGTCATCAAGACGCATAATTAGTTAATTCAATAAAATTAGAAAATAAGCTTTCACAAGAGAAAATGTTAGCACTTTGCGAAATTAAAGCCCGGATGGAATACAATACTCTTTCAAAATCGAATTACAGAACGAACAAGCGGCATATTTACGGCTGACTTCCTCTCATTGCTAATTAATAAATGAATTAGATGGAAACAGAGTATTCGTAAGACCATTTCTTGTAAGCTTTCCCTGCTGGCAACGAAAATGTATTTCGTGTGAGTGTACATAAAGACCAATTTTCTCCATGATTTACCAATAGCTAAGGAAATTGCCTTCCTTCCAAGTAAATTCCATTCCAGCCAAATATTTGGAGGAATTTGTATCCAAGTTGATTCGGATGAATGGTTTCCTACTTCGGTTCTAAGGTTTTGCAAAGGACGTAAAGACGGCTCCTATTCAACTCTATGGGATTATGATAACAATTTGTGTTTAGTGGATTTTGGAGACAATTGTTCAGTTCACCTTGTCAATCCCCTTTATGTACCCTCGGTTTTATTGTTACCGCATCACCACTCCAACCTTCACCCACACAGAATTCCCTGGATTTTGTTGTAGGGTTGACTCTTCGATTATTCTTGAGCTTCATTCAATCCGTATTTATTTCTTTGATATTTGAAAAAAATACTTTTTCAATTTCTTACTCAATTTGCTAAGTGAGCTCCGAAATTGGTACTGTGATCTGACAATTTTTATTTAGTTGTCATTACAGGAATCTTGTCCCAGGCAATCTGGTGAGGCAGAAGGAATGCACAAATTATTGATACTAAAATTCATAATGCTTTTATTCTTAGTGAGGCAAATACCTAACAACGAAAAAAATTTACTAAGTATGCATTTACCCCACCCAAAAAAAGTGACATAAATCGATTTCTCGGCCATTTCTCAACCGATTTTAATGAAATTTTGCACAGATCATTGTTACGGAATTTAGAATCGATCTGCAATTCGACTTAGCGAATTTTTGATTTTTAACCAAGTTATGGGCGTAAACGAGCAAAAATTTGCACTCGGAGTCACCTTTCCATTTGTTGTTCCATTTTGGAGCATCACATAGTCCTAAATTATTGGAAAAAGTTACACCAATTCCTTCTGAACATTTTAAGACCAAGTTGATCTAAATCGGTTAGGAAATCAAGAAGCTATTGAATTTTGAAACCCAAAAATTTAGTAAAATTATCCTGGTTACAAAAATTTAATGACGATGGTGCAGCGTAATAATGTTATTGACAACCCAATTACAAGTTTTAAATAAACAAGGTCCCAAAAAGTGGGAAATCTTAGTGAAGGAATGCAATTACAGCTAATAAATAAATTTAGATTGCAGAATTTTTGCATCACCGCTCTCGGTACCATTCTTTACTGGACCCACCATAAATTTTTTTTTGAATACATAAATTCTTACATTTATTGAGCTACTTGAGATTTCAAAAAAGATGGTTTTACTAGTGAACGAGAAGTTTGCTATATTAACCGATACCAAATATAATGGCTAAATAATTGTGAACTGTGCAAATCTATGATTTTGGATATCTAATTAATTCCTATTCTGGTGAAATCGCCAAACCTATAAAGGGGGAAAAATTATTCTAAATGATTAATTAATGCTTCCAGTAAAGAATGGTACCGAGAGCGATGATGCAAAAATTCTGCAATCTAAATTTATTTATTAGCTGTAATTGCATTCCCTCACTAAGATTTCCCACTTTTTGGGACCTTGTTTATAGATATTGTCATAAACTTACTGAAAAGAAAGTTAAATTTTTCAAACTGTTTTCATTTCTTCACACCAAAAAACGCAATATTAAGAATTCTATGCGTTTTTTACATAGGCAAAAATCTGTTCAAATATTCCACAATTTGTCTGATTGTGGAGAACACAATGTGCTCGGTGGTTGTTTGGATAGTCATTTGAATACATAGGAAAGCAAACATGGTTGTGGATTCTACTTCGGGGACAGTTTTGCCCCTCAGTTGCGGTGGATGTGGAATGGAGGCTGTCGAATTTTATGGATGATGGAAACCGACGACTGGAAAATTTATTCGACATTCATCCCACTATTCGCACCCTCGATGCAAAGAGGGGATTATCAGGGTGCATATGTGATTAGATTTACATCTCGGGTGTATTTTTGGAACCGGAATGTTGGGTGAAAAAAAATCGACTTTTATACTTGGAAATATTTTATTCCTACATTTGCTAATGGAATGGGAGAAAGTAACACACAAACTTTTTAAGATTTTCAACCTATATTTCATTACAAGATGGTTCGTATGTGTAGAAAAAGATCTTTACTAGAAATCATTA